AGCCTTCAGCGCATCAGTTCTGGACACATTTTAATGCCAGTTGATTTATATCAATTTGCAAAACAAAACATGCCATCAGTAAATTTTACGTATATAACCAACGAACCATACAATTTACAAGAGATTAAACTACGAGAAAGATTTAATTTCGCTAGTCCCATTCCAGGAACTCGGGAAATACATGCTATATTTCCTTTAAGTTTAAGTAAACTTAAATCAAAAATATATTCATATGCAGAGGACTTTCAAATTAACAATATCTCAAATGCCGATAATTTGTCTTTTGCCGATATTAAAGGATTCGTAACATGTGCTTATGACGATTTTTGGTGGTTAGCCACAGTACTAGAAAAGAATGAAATTACTGAGGAGATATATATTTCCTTTTTACATTCCCATGGACCATCACCATCCTTCTTTTAGCCTTCAATTGCGGAAAAGATATGGTTACCCATTAATCAAATAATAACAATAGTAGATCCTATTACAGTGACAGGACGTACCTACAAATTATCGTCTCAAGAAATTCTATTAATAAGCACAAAATGAGATAAGATTAAAATAAGAGGTATTTATTTTTATATTGTTAGTGTATAAAATTTTAAAATATGTTTATTTTACAATTAGCGTCCTAATAAAATCATATTTGTATGGGCTGACGGCTTATATATCGCCCCAGGACATCATTCTTGGTTATACTCAATTGATTTTTTAATCACAATACTATTCATATTTTTATTAAAAATTATATATTATAAATAATTTTTAATATAACACCATCTATGTTGCATTTTTTTATTTATAAAAATAGTAAAATTCAAATAAAATTTTAAAAAATTTATTTATTTCTAATATTTCAAAAATAAATTTTAATAAATGACGAAAAATGATTTAAAAGAACATTTTATTTTTACATTATAAATATCTTATGTTATTTTATTCTTCAAAATTAATAAATTTAATTATTATATATAATATTTAGGACACAGCCTAAAACGTGGTTGTGATTAGTATTGTTAAACGGCTGAGCCAAGCCGGCTTAGCCGAAAACTCAGCCAGTTTTTGAGCCAAAAATTCGGCTCAGGCTCTAACCGGCTCATTGAGCCGGCTGGCTCAGCCGTTGGCTCCCTGAAGCCGATTATTGAGGCGAAATTTATTTATTTGAGATTAGTGTTAGTGTTGCTAAACGCTGAGCCAAGCCGGCTTAGCCCTAAACTCAGCCAGTTTTTGAGTCGAAAATTGACAAAGGTTCAAGCCACCTCATTAAGCCATTTTAGTCGGCTGGTTCGAGTCGGTTCAAGCCTGCTAAGGAGTTGCCTCAAGCCGTCTTAGCCAAAATTTATTTTTGTTGTTAAACGGCTGAGCCCTAAACTCATCTAGTTTTTGAGTCGAAAATTGACTCAAGCCAGCTCTTTGAGCTAAATTAGTCGGCTGGCTTGAGTCGGCTCATGACTTGGCTCAAGCCGACTTTTGAGCAGAAATTTATTTTTTGTTAGTGTTGTAAAACGTCGGGCCAAGCCGGCTTAGCCCTAAATTCAGCTTGTTTTTGAGTCAAAAATTGACCGAGGCTCAAGCCAAAAGGAAGCTCCCATAATTAAAAAAGATCTAGGACACATATTGCATCGGTATGGCAGACTCTTGTTTTTTTCTACCCGCATTATGAAGTTTCAAAAAGCGTATTGTATTCCTGACGATAATAATTGGTTATTTAGACAAAACTCATTCACAAGTTGCTTTATCATTTTGAGTATAACACCTACTTTAAAAATTTCATTTTAAAAAAAAAATACTATGGATATTAAATAATCGGAACCAGCTGCTTTAAAATATCTTTAAAAAAATGATATATTAATTTTTTTAAAAAATAACATAAAAATAAGGATTGATCATTTTTTATATTTTATATTTATTATTATATTGAATTTGTTTAATGTAATTTTTTAAATTATTATTTTATACTAGCTGATAGCCCGTCAAGAATGACGGGTAATCAGAATTTTCTCCATATGGATAAATAATAATTTTTACCTTCATTTGACGATGGATGAATCAGAATAATAGTCAAATGAGAGAAATAGATTATCCGTATTCATCCTTCCAAAAATTCTATAAATTTTTAGAGAAAAGGCCAAATATATTATGAAAAATATGTAATAGAAAAAATATGATTTGTGAGTTATGATATATATCAATTATTTTAAGAGATTTTCCACATCCAAACGCAATGGTTTTTGCTCTCTCACTTCGTTTAAAATCTACATTCTCAAAAAATAACTTAAATGCTTAACCTTCCTAAATACTCTTATAAAAAAAAGACCTGCCATCATAGGTTGAATCAATTATGAGGGCACCTAATTATCTCACGAACACTGTGGTGGTATCCACCCCAGAGCAATGGGCTATTTAGAAGATTATTGGCAAAAATAATTGTCATGGGTCAAAACCCAGGGTCTTAAGTTATTAAGTATACTTATTAGGATTTGGTATTAAGGGAGTAGACATAGCTTTGCTTGCAATTTGTATTCTAAAATCCTTTTCCTAACATAGCTATTATCAAAGTAGACTGTAAAAATGCTTTCAATAGCAAATTTCGTGAACATTTCATAAATTGTTTTATCCCAAATTTCCTGTTTAAAACAGATACAGATATATCTAAAATAATATCCAGATACAGATAATTTAATCAAAAATCTATCTAAATATAGATACAGATACACATTTTTAAATTTAGATACAGTATCTATATACTTGTTTCTATATACTTTAACAACTCTGGTATTTCCAATTAATATTTTTTATAACAAAATTAACATTATAAGATATTTTATAAACAAAATTGTAGTATTAATAGTACATTTAATTCTAAAAACTAACCCTTCCCTATTTTAGCAACACACCTTTTGCACATTGTATTTGACGATTATACCCTGTATTGTTTAAATAACTGTTCAGAATTAGTGGTATCCAATGCAATAATAAGTGTAATCATGACAATCACTTAGCCTTTAGAATAATTATGAGGCTTTTTGCATTTCGAAAATTCAACAGAATCTAACAAAAGTGTAAAATTTAACTTGATGTTGATCCGATAATAAAGCTGTGATCTCTTATCAGATCTCACCTAAATTTGTGATGTTCTATTTGAATTGTCCAATATATCTTTAAGGCTTTAGTAAAGAACAATCAGTTTACCTAGACAGAAAAATCAATAAAGTGAGAGATTTGTATTCTACAATTGTTTAAGGATATGCAAGGTATGTTCTAAATCTCTTTATAATTTCTAAATGAATGTTTATTTAATATTTCAAAAAGCTAAATTATAAAAGCTTAAGAAGCTAGGAAAATAAATAAATTTTGATTCATAAAATTGAAGGAAAATAGAAGTCAGACTGGTATCAAAGGAAATTAATTCATTACTGCCTTAAAACACAATATGCAAATAGGTTAATAGATGCTAATTGAGATAATTAGTAATAAAAATACTATATAAATTATATAATTTAGCCTTTATTATTATCTTATCTGGTAATATTAAAGAAAAGATAACTCACCTGCAGACCTTCTCCATTATGTTAGTGTATTAAATGATTTTGTATCTGACAAAAGCTCAATGTGCATCTTGCAATAAATGGGATGAGGAAATACATTGATGATAAAAATGAAATTAATAAATGGCTCATGATTTGAAAGAGTTCCAAAATTGTATTAGCATAATTCTGTGCATCACTATCAAATGCAAGCATAGCTTTCAGAATGTCATTATGACAGATTTGGCTGAATGTCTTATGAAAAAACATATTTCCAATTTGATGATTATAAACACAGTGGAATTTTATTCATATATATTAAAAGGTTGCTGACAATTACAGGTCTGCAAACAATATAAAGAAAACATTTAATTAATATTATTAAAAATATTGAAAAATATTCGTTATGGTGAATATTGTGTTCTTCCCATTATCTTTTTGGTCTACTATCCCAATTCATGGATTAAATAACTCATCATGTTTGAAAAAAGGAACATGTTACTTGCTATTAAAAATTGTTAATACTAACATTATATATAAAAATAATATATTATAGCTATAATTTTTTATTTTTAGCAACAATTGATTTTAAATTTTGATCAGATGAAAAAGAGTGTTTAGTGCTCAACTCAGCTTTTGCTTTGCTAAAAATTATTCAACAGGCAAAGGAAGGAAGGGTTGTATTATATATAATAAATAAATAAAAATTAATTAAGGTAATTTATTTATAATATTTAAGGAATGACCTTTATTTATAAAAAATCTTATTAGATCATCTTCATAAGAATCTTCATTCAGATCCTCATTTATATTTATCAGAATTTAACCTAAGTTTATATTTTTATTAAGTTTTTTTAGATTTGAGCTGCTAGACAACAAGGTTAAAATATTTGAATTAGGGAGCAATCCAAATTACAAAGTGTTAACTTATTGCCTTAAATTTTCTTTATTTGTGTTAAAAAAAGTATTTCATACTTGGGACATGGCAAAGTTATATGAACTTCATCTGAAAAAAAAATACTTTTGACATCTTATAAAATAAATTATAATATAATGCCATCAGTAAAATAATTAAAATTGAGATCAGGATTTTATATCCTGATACATGATAAACATTTTATTTTCTATAATGATAATTTCAAGATCAGCCAATATATAAAAGTGAAAATCGAATTCGTAAGCATAGAGTGAAAAGGTAATGAGTAAATATAAGCTTAAAATTAAAATGAGTCTTATATAATTTAGTAAAGTATACTTTGTTCTATAAAATAGCATAATTTAATTTGATATTATATAAAATAATTTAAATGTAATTCAAATTAAAAGATATATTATATTGTTATATTCATGATATAAGATACTCATATAGCGTGATTGCCTAAAAAAAATGTTAATTTTAAAATAAAAATTAAATAATCTTAACCGCATAACATATTTTAAATATATTATTAAGAATATGAATGATTACGTTACTTTATATCTCGCTAGCCATGATCGAATGTTATTGACAGACATTAGTTATAATTATGCCCCATATAATCATCATAAAAATTAGATTTGAATCGTAAAGTCGATCGTAAATTTGTCCATTTTCTGATTGGTCTATTATATCGCGGTAAATAAAATTATTTAAAACATTATGTCTAATATCATTTATAAAAATTTTGTTAAATAATTTAATATTATTTATGAATATTTTGTAAAATTAATTTAATGTTAAAATTTATATATATTGCGTTAAATCCTCCAAATACCGTGGGGTAGCTTGGAAACCTGATTAATCGAATACCTTAATAGACTGTTTCAGACAATCATCGTTAATAAAAAGCAAATCAGGCTTAGAAAAAATTTGATTTTTTATAAGATATGACTATATATTTTTTAAATCTTTTGCTTAAATATTTATGATTTGTTTAATTTTAGGAATAATATCAATCAAGTTAAGAGTTATAGTTTGAAGAATTTGAATAATTATTGATATTTCTTGAATATGTTTCTAAAAAATATTATAATTTATTCTTCAGTTTATGTAATTAGAAAATTACTTTTTTACTGCAATTCATAGAAATGTATTATAAAATATTTTGAATAATATATAAAGATTTAAAAGCTTAAAATAAATAATCGTTTCTAAGAGTTTAAATTTAGGAAAATTAATTATTCTTAAGAGTTAAAATTTATAAAAATTTATATTTATTTGCAGTTGAATATTAAAAATTATCGTGATTTCAGGAGTAGAGATAAGCATTTCTTTTATAATTCATGTAATTAGAAATATATTATGTAATATTTTTAATAAATATAATAAGGATTTTGTAGTAATACCACTACTATTATTTCAATTTATTTCAAACATCAAATTTATATTAATTAATTTTCGAATATTCTATTCTATTTTTATATATAATATCTATAAATATTATTTTATTAATTTATTAATTTATTACATTTCCTTCAAACATTTTAAAGTTAGATTTCTTTAATAAACCTCTTTGTAGGTTTACGGTTTCTTGATGAACAACGTAATGTGGTATTTGTATTTGTATTTGTATTTTCTTCATTCACTGGCACAACCATTTCTCTAACTTCCAAAGAACTTTCATGATTTGGGATAACTAAACGATTTCTTAACTGATCTGCATGCTTCCGTAATGTTTTCCCGGAAGATTCAACAATATAAGAATAAGGTTCTATTCTTTCTTTAATTACTCCCTCTCTCCAACCATTGGTATTTTCATTATTTAACCATACAGGTTGTGAGATTTCAAATTCTCTTTCCTTTGAATGTAAATCATGATGAAGGTTTTGTCTATCATTGGCCTTTACTATTTTGTGTTCGGCATTTGGTTGGATCCAATCCAGACTTGTTTTCAATTGCCTCCCAAACATAATTTTAGCAGGAGATCTCCCTGTGGAGCTATGCTCTCCCAATCGGTAGGTTGTTAAAACCTGTGTCATAGCTTCTTCGGGATCGCTAATTGAATCACTCGTCGCATAATACCGACCTTTCAAAGTTCGTACTGTACATTCAGCTAATCCATTAGTTTTTGGATGATAGGGTGCCGAACGTATATGACGTATATTATTTAAATCACAATACCTACGGAATTCCCCAGATAAGAATTATGGTCCATTGTCTGACACAATGTACTTTGATATTCCAAACCTAGCAAACCATTTTTTTGGTCGTTTTATCATAGCATCAGCAGAGGTATTTTGAATTAGATCAACTTCTAACCATTTGGAGTAGGAATCGACACCATTTAGCCAATATCGCGAATCTACTGGTCCAGCAAAATCAATATAGATTCGCTCCCAAGATTCCTTCCCAACAGTCCAAGAATATAGAGGTACTTCTCGAATACTAGGTCTATTTTTCTAGCATCCTGAACATATTTTGATAAAATTTTCTATATCAACTTCACATCTGGGCCACCAGCAATACAATCTAAAAATAGATTTCATTATATTTTCTCCAGGATGTCCCCGGTGAATCATTCCTACACTGCATTTCTTAATTTATTAGGAATAACCAATCTCCCATTCCATTCTATAATATCACGATCGACAGAAAGCTCTTCCCGTCGATTATAAAAATTAACTATTTTTTTATCTTTATGACGATAAAAGTTTCGCCAACTTTGCTGAATATGTATTGCTACTTTTTTTTAATATTAAATCTTGCTTCGACTCTTTTCGTAGCATATTTTCTAACAATTGCATATCATCCAAATTAATACTTCGAATATCCAAAGCATGTTTTGAATCTTGATTCTCTTCCGTGTCTAATATCGGAAACCTTGATAATGCGTCGGCGATTACATTTTTATTACCAGGTCTATATTCTATTGTAAAATCATAAGAAGCCATCTTCCAGGCCCAACGTGTCAAACGATTATTAGAAATTTTAGGTAAATCGCGTTTCTCCCCAAATAATCGCTCTAATGGTTTATGATCAGTTCGAAGTAAAAAAATTTCTACCATAAATAAATGAAAGAAATTTTTCAATACCAAATAAAAGTGCTCGAGCTTCTTTATCAATTGGAGCGTAGTGTTTCTCTGATTCTAATAAGTACGTGACGCGAACGAAATAGGTTTTGTCCTTCCATCTACTAATTGATGTAACAACACAGCCCCTAATCCTGAATCAGATGCGTCGCATTCCAAAATTATAGGGAACTGCGCGTTATAAGGAATTAACGTTTCCTCTGATGACTATAATTTCTTAACCTCATCGAAGGAATTTTGTTCATCTTTCGACCCGCCAAGGTACTTTCACGCTCGTTAATCTATGTAATAGCGCCGCTTTACAATGTAGAGTGCGAATAAAACGTTCATGATAATTAACTAGTCCTAGAAAAGATCTAAGTTGTTGTATATTTTTAGGGTTAGGTGCATTTCGGATAGCCTTCACTTTTTCCGGGTTAGGGTGTATACCTAATTTATCAATTATCACCTATAAAAAATGGAAATTTTTGTAAAAATCTCACTTTTGTCAATTTCGCCTTAAGACCTGCTGCATGTAATCTGTCTAACACTATTCGCAAATTATTTAAGTGCTCCTCATCATTTCGACCAGAAATAATTACGTCATCTAAATAGACACCTGTTCTAGGCATATGTTTGTTTATTTATTAATATTAAAATAATATTGATTTTTTTAATGTATAAAATATATTATTGATTTTTTTTTATTGGTTTTTAAAAGAAAATAAAAGTTTGAATTTTGGAAAATAAAAGAGTATCTCAAAAGTGGTGCCTCTAATTTAAAAGATACCTGTATAAAAAAAAATTAATTCGGAACAACAATGACTACTATTACGAAACAGGCCAAAGATTTATAAAAAGGAAAAAGGAAATTCGTAAAAATAAGGTAAAAGTTTATATTTTTGTTGAAATTTTATGTATTATTGTGTATTAGGGATTTTCGTAATAATTTCGATATTGTATATTTTATCATTTAAGTCAGTTAAAATTTTTTTGATAAAGTTATTGATAAGTTTATTATAGAATTAAAGAATTTGAAATTTGAAAATTAAGAGTTTAAATTAAAAATAATTTTAAGGAAATGCTAAATCGCAAAAATATTAAGACCAACAATTATTTTGAGGTCAAAAATGTTGAGCCGTTAAAAATGTATTTTGAAATATTAATGGTTTTTATATTGTGGGTTATAATATATTTTTGGTATAAGAAAAGAAATGGAAATAAAGATATAAATCGAGTAAGAATGTTAGAGCAAGTGGAAAGGGAGAAAAATAAAAAAATTGAAAAATTTAAGAGGAATATTGAAAATTTATTTAATGAAATATATATGATGAAAAATGAAAATGAAAAAAAGGAAATATTAAAGACAGATATCGTCAGAGATTCTAAAAAAAAGGTATGTGATATTGATATTAATAAAACAGATTTCGTTAGAGAGTCTGAAAAAAGAGAAAATGGAAAAATTGGAGAAAATGAAAAAAAAAAAGGAAAATGAAAAAAAAAAGGAAAATGAAATTGGAAAAATGGAACATAAAAAAAAGGAGATTAATATTGAAGAAATAAGAAGAGAAATGAGGGAAGAATGGGAAAATGAAAGGAAAGAGATAGAGAAAAAAGAAATGGAAGAAAGGAGGAAAAGGGAAAAAATGGAGTTGATTGAAAGGGAAAAAGAGATGTTGAGAACAGAAATGACAGAAATAAAATTAAAATAGAAGAATTGGAAAAGAAAAGTGAAGGAAAAGGAGTGTATGGGAATGATGAAAGGGAAAATAAAAAGTGTTATAATTGTGGGAAGTTTGGACATATAAGTAGAGGATGTAATGAAAGGAGAAATCCAAATGTGTTAACTATAATTTGTAAAAGGTGTAGAAATAAAGGGCATAAAACTGAGGAATGTTATGTTCCTACGTATAAATTGGTGAATGAAATTCAAAAAGCTTGTGGAAATTGTGGAAATTTTGGTCATGGTCATGATAAGTGTTTTAAGAATCAACAAGAAGATTCTAAAGCATTTCCGGCGGTAGAATATATAAAAAAAGGGGAAAAAAATATCTATGAAAAAAGGAAAGTCGAAGATGTAACATGTTTCAACTGTCGTTTGGACATTATGCGAGAGATTGTCCGGTCACATGACTATATGGTGGACAGGAATTAATATGTGGGGCTATTACATCGGAAAACCCAGTAGACAAGGGAAAAATTTTATTATTAGGGAATGTACTAAATATTGAAAATAATTTGGAAATTGAAGAAAAGAAAAATAGTAATGAATTAGTGATGAAAAATAAGGGGAATGAGTGGCCCAGGGCGAATATAAATTTGTGTTATGCCAGTTTCGATGAAAAAAGATATTAATTATGATGAATGTCCGCGCGTGAAAATTAATGTGGGAAATAAGGAAATTATAATGTTGTTAGATATGGGAGCAACTATATCGGTAATGGGGTATAGGGAATTTTCGAATTTATGGCCGAATGAGCGATTAATAAATGATAAAATGATAATTAAGCAGTTAAATGGACTGTTATTTCGGTTTTGGAAAAAGTGAATTTGCCGGTGTTAATGAATGGGGGGAAGTGCAGTTCTTGG